TCACATGCAGTGAACTCTGAGACCGTTTACCTTTTTTCTTATAATTAGTTTATTTTATTGTTGGTGTTGTTTTGCATTGAAAAAGTCTTAACTTCTATTTTGAATTGTTTTAGACCAAATTCGTTATTTTATTTTGACTGTTCAAATAGGCAAAAATTTATAGTTATATAAAATATATCAGAGTGCAAACGGGCACTACTTCGATTGAATTCAAATATTTCCCATCGACTCCAACTCTGATACACATTAAAAACAATTTGAGGTACACATAATCTTAGGTAATGTTGTATTCATATATTAATATTGAGAACGTATGATTATTTGTTTTTAATGTATTCGTGATGAATTAGAATCGAAAAAAATTGAATGATACAGTAGAAATATGGAGTAAGTTTCATCTTCTAATAAACAATTAGTTTATTTGTATATAGAAGACATTCCTTACGGTTCAAAATAAACAAATTAATTCTTAAGTACGTTCAACGTCTTTATGCATAAAATCTTTTCTTATGATATATAAACATTTATTTTACAATCAGTTTTAAGCGTAAATAAAAACAGTAAATTAAAGATATGTTATTTATAAACTTGTTTCTTTTGCATCATTTTCATCTTCATCGTTCTCATTGTCACTTTCAGCATTATTTTCATACGATACAAATGATTGAGCTCGAGAGCTGGCGGCGCGATTACGCGTCGGTGCACTGACTGCAGCTGCAGCTAGGTGTTGTTGATGTTGACGATTTGCCGTACTAATATTAGTTGACAATTCCACAAAATTTGATGCAATTTTTGATTCTTTCGAAACTTCTAACGGACGTGCAGCAATAAACGAGACAGTCTAAAGAATAATAATTCATAACAACATTTTTATAGTGTACAGCTAAGAAAGTAGTAGTAGAAGCCAATGAATATTGCAGGCTAATGAGAAAAAATGAAAAAAGTTATACCTTGATCTCAAATCATAGACATTAGTTGTAAACTAACTTCTATTGACATGTTTTTATTGGTGACAAATCAAGAATGATGTATATTTTTCTATAGACTATCTAAATAGCTGTCCTATTCGTATGCAGCATTTCTCGAATAATCAACTTACTTTTCTTCCTTCATCATACGCTTTTTCAATCAATAATAATGCTGATGGTAAGTCCATAGCAACGAGACTATACACTCCAACTTGAGTTAAATAATCACCAACTTTCAATCCACCTAAAAACAAAAACAAAACTACTAAGTAATTATAGATTATTTCTATAAAAGGCAGATACTTAAAGAATAGAACTGTGGGAATTTTTTTATTATCAAACCGATATAGTTCATGGAGGGACGAAAACGTTGATTTTAAAAATGTTTGTTTTTGAGAAAAAATGTCTTTATGCATCTTCTTTTATCTTAAACAACCAAAAAAAAACCGAAAGTATATTTGAAGGAATATCAATTTGAATACTTAGACAATATATGACATGTCATCGATTTAACTAAATAATTAATAAATTTTGTCTATATAAAAAATATAGTTTTTCACTAATTGCATCCATAACAATATTACCGTTTATTGTCATATAGACATAGTATTTTTTAGCAGTAATTTCTAATTATAAGTAGGTAAAACTAGTGTATACTATAGAGAACGTGTGGAATTCAAGAATTACTTCAGATTGACTAACAATCCTACAGGATCGTCAAAAAATGTGAATTCAATAGATTTTTAAGCAAGTTCATAAACAATTTATACGAAGAATGAGCGATAAAAACCAACATGAAACTGTGTTATGTTTCAGACGTTTGTAATTGAAACTGATCTAAACGTTCGAAAGGCTTGCTTTTTCCAACGCTTTTCAGCTACTTATGTGTATCACTGCAAACTGTTACACCGTTAACTGCACATGAACCCTTAAAAATATTTTACCTTAATTTGAGAATTTATTTGACAACTCTATTCAGCGAACTTGCTGGAAAATCTCTAGAATCTATCACACATTTGTAGATTCGCCAAAGAATTTCTAGAATCTTTATGTTTTAGCTATCTTATAGTTGGTGATTCTGGAGCTTTTCTACTGATTTTAAGGATTTTTCAATTCTTTACATGCTCCATCATATTCACTAGAATATACCATTGGATCAACAAATTCATTTATTTAACAGCTCATTACTCTTAGACAGGTTTTGATTACATGAGGAAGTCATGAATTTCATTCATTTATTAGATCTAATATTCTGCTATATTGCAACAATCATCATTTAGTTGATTACCATGTTCATTATATCTTACTCAATATACTATCATTATTCCATATCGTATATCGATACAAATGGCACATCTAGGAGAGGAGAGCATTCGACCATGGCTTAATGGGATATATTGCATTCTTTCTTTAATGCAATATAAAAAGTTTTTTGTTTAGTGCTTTCATGATGGCACAAATTGCACAGCGAGGCTTAGACCTTCGTTTTAACCAAATGGAAATTGGCCCAATTGACAAAATGTTTTGATAGTGTTACTGCTTGATATGACGCAGTTGTATCATTACACGCAAATCAGATATTAAAAGGGATATGGCCGCATTTATCCATAACTGTTAGTATACTAATAGTTATGGATAAAGGCGGCCATATCCGAGACTGACTTAAACAATCAAAAAAGTTCTGTGTCCATTACAGTACTTACCCTCCTTACATCTTCTCGTTTGACTAAAAAATGCCAGCGAGTTCCTTTCAAATTCACAGAAAATAAAGACAATTTTCCAGAAATTAATGTTTGTTTTTAGAAAAAAATCAGTTTGACTTTCTATAAAATCAGTCGATTCTTCAATTTTAGAGAAAATCAGAAAACGTTTTCTATTGCTTGAAGAATCAAGACGATTTTTCGAACTATTTTGAAAAGCAAAATTCTTGAAAATTGACTCGATTTTTAACAAAATAGAAAATAAGCATTTTCTATATTCTTATAAAATCGTTCATAACTTCATAAGAGCTCTAAAATCATTTTCAATTTTCAAAGTCGATTTCTTATAAATCAGAAAATAAATCGAGTTAACAGGATAGCTCTGCTATCGCATTTAATTATATACACACTGTAAAAAATGGTTCTCTAGTTTCTAGTTTCCAATTTAAATCCTAGGAAAATTTCCACTCACAGTACCTTTTTACGAGAGATTTCGCGACAATGTCGAACAATTGCTTCATAGACTATAGCATGATAAAAATTATTTTTGGTTAAAACTGTTTTCATTCAATTCATCACTCAAAACTAAGAGGATCAAGTTTTTTTTATGTCATGATGCCTCTTCGTTGCCGAGAAAAAGGCATTTTCTCAAAGCTATCTCAAAATAGTTGAGAAAAACGACTTCGTTTTACCGTATTTTAGCTATATCTTTAAAACTTTTCATCCATTCTTTTCGTACAACATTTCATTCAAAAGAACATAAAAAACGGAACGAAATCTATTCAAAACGTTGAATATGATATAGAATCTCAATGTTTTAAAAAATGTTGCTATGTTTTGCTAGAAAAGTAAAAGTGTAGTTTTTTCATAAAAATAAGTAAATTAGTCTAGCATTGACTTTCTGCATTCACTTTTCTATTTTAACTCTATTAAGGACTCCACCCCCAAAGAAAATTTTTCTTTTATTTACATCCAATTTCGATGGCGCTTACAGGAATTAATGCTTACTGTGTATCTAACTTATGCTAAAAATTTGAGCTCGAAACGTTGAAACGTTGCCGTGTTATTGCGTGACAACGTGCAAAATGGGACTCTTATCAAAAGTGTATAGTCTTTGTTGGTAAAAGAACAGAAAGCTGCGGGCGGTCTTAAATAAAAATAGATCCTTAAATTTAAAATTTGTTCCTAGCGTTTGTTGGATATCGCTTCCGTTCATTCTCTGTGTATCAATTTTTATAATTTCGTCTAAAATGAGATACACTTCCAACCATCAAAGATAAAATATCTCTCGAGAAAAAGAAAATGCTCAATTCCTTCTTATCACTGAAAAGTCTAACTAATCTAGTGCGACACATTTTTTACTATTTACAGCGGAAAATAATTCAAATGCTTGTTGTAAGCAAAATATTAATTGATCTGATATTTCTTAGAATACGTTCGATACAAAATATATTTATCTAAAGTGAAAAATATGGTTCTCTTTAATTTTAGTGTATAACTGCTTTACTGCAGTACCATTACCAACAGTAAGAGCTCTTAGAGACAAGATTTCAATTATTATTACAAACAAAAATTTTATAAATAACGAAATATTTTAAAAATAATTAAATAAAAATCTTACCATGCATGTCGATCATTCCATTTGGTAATATTTCATCAATAAATACCCACTGATGACCCTCAACATGACCGACAACCATACCAATTTCAGCAAGCTATAGAACAATTCAATATGTATATTAAATCTAATCTAACGAGTAGACAACATTCGCACCTTTTCTATTTCACATGGAATAACTTGATATTCAACACCATTACTCTTTAATGAAAAACATTAAATATCTATACAATTATTAAAATTTCAAAATAGTAAAATTTACTTCAATAAAAGACTTTTTAATTCGATCTGCATTTAATTGAACATCTTAAAGAAATATATATGAAATATGTATCATTGTATTCCTGAATGATATATGTTTGTTATTTACTTGCAGCACTTTTTCGTGGTTCAATACCAACATATGGTGGGGGATTCTACAAAATTATTGTACTTGACTAATATTAGTGTTTATCAATCGGTGAAAATAAAGTTTTCTTACCGTACTTGGTACATTTTGTTGTCGTTTAACTAAACCTTGTGCCATTAATAGATGAGAGAAATAATATAGTATTAACGATAAATATTGTTCTTTTTAAGAAATTTTATCTTCTTGATATTATGAAATTTCGTTAATTTTATCTTTTAATATCAATTTATTCTTTTGAACGTCACTGACTAAGACTTGTTTTCAGTGTGATAATGTTTGAATTTGGCATGAAGAAACGAAACATTTCATAAAAAATAAACATTGTTATCTTTTATAAGGCAAGTTACAAGGCAAGTGACACCATGTATATCATGCGACAAGATAAAATTCTTTACGGTTGATGATAGTTGAATAAATAAATCAAAGACACTTTTTGGAAATAATTAAACAAATATTAGTCATATAATCTACTATGAAACGCTTTGTTCTTAGTTCACAAGAGCTAAAATAGTTTTCATTAATCTATTTGATACATAACGTAAAGAAATTTTAGCTACTTTAGAAAAATTGAAGGATAAACAAAACAAATATTGCACTATCTTCAAGTTTAAATATGTTTAACTATATAGTTGGCATAACTGCTGTGATACATATGCAAAAATCAGATTTAGTAAATTGAAATCGTTTTAAAATTCAAATTTAATTGTAGTAAATTATAATAGAGAAATGAGGATGTGAATATAAAAAACCTTTGGTATAGGAAACGTTTTAACAACATTTTTGTTACTCTCGAAGTCCAGTAAACATCTAGTGAAGATTTCATTCGAATTTTGACGACATCCATCTTCCTATAAAATTAAGTAATAAATTCAAAATGAAGTTTTATTGAGAGCAGAACCACTTGAATATATAAATATACGTGCATGTGTGTGTGATTTTGTTCTAGATGAAAATAGTGTTAAATGATCTACCGATTAAAAACTTAGTTCTCGAAACTAGAAATAGGGAAGATGCACAATTAGACTAGTGTTATAAATACTTGATTCTTTCTGACAGACAAACAGCACACTAAAATTAGAATTTTTTACTTGTAGAGGTCGGTGTGTAATGGTAAGGTCATTCTCACAACACGATCTTACCATCGAAAATATTGAGAACGTCAACAATTTGAAAGCAAATCACAAAACGATTAGCTTATGGTCTGAAGATTCATTACATCTGCTGTAAAAAAATGAAATTTATTGAATGAAATTCTCAAACGCCAGCTGAAAATGTAAGATTCTATTTTCAAAGAGATATCACAATCTTCAAATAGACTATCAATCCAAAAGTGACCAATCATGTTACAAGTAAAGCAGGGTTGAAATTGAGCCTGCAGATCGGCCCCATCAGGTGTAAAAGTTCAGACCGGCGAGGATCGGTCGGTTTGTTGCCGGTCTAGAAAAATTTTCAAAGCGGCCGGTGTCGACCAATTTTTTAGCATTTTTCTCGACTTCATTCAAAAGAAACTTGATGAAACAACTAAGAGAAATAAGAAAAAGCTAGTGAAGATCGCTTTTTTCTTAAAGATATTTAGTTTTATTGATAAAAGTTCTCAACCGGCCGGTTTTTTTGCGAGTTTTCATCATGCCGGTTTTTCACTGGTCTAAAAAAATTTTTGGGTCGGCCGGTCCGGTCTACTGTTTCCAACCGGCCGACCCAGTTCGGCCTCTTAGTTTTAGACCGGTTGCAACTCTGAAGTAAAGTTACAGATACACGAGAAGCGCAGTGCGTATCCAGATGAACTTTTGATGGAAAATCAAACCCGCACTTTTTTCGGATTCAAATAGAGAACTTACAAAGGGTGGCCCAGAAGTCCTGTCTCATTCAGTATTTTCTCAATATCTCGGTCAAGGTTGATCGTCAAGTCTCAATCTTTTTTTAAAAGAAAAACTTCATTTAATTCTCTACACAAAAGATATTGAACATTTCTTTATATACCATTAAAAATAAAAAAATATAGAGAAAATACGGGAAGCTTCAATATCGATTACTTTCAAACCAAAAAAACAGGTTTTTCAATTTCAGTCCCTTATATTTTGCGATATGAAAAAAGAGAAAATGGCCATATTGTAGTTTGCGAAAAGCTCTATCAACTGGCTACGTTTAAGACTCTTCCTAGACTCAAGCGTTCGCAGAAGGATTTCTTTTCTTTTAGCGATTTTGCCCAAAATCATCATTTTCTAACCGCAGTTTTGAGGCACCTAGAAAAATTTGTGTGATTTGGTCCAAACCATATATTATGACTTTAGATGTGATTTATCTTAAAGTAAAATAATTCTTCTGTTACATCCAAACAGAGAAAGTCGAATAGTCCCGTTTCGTTTCCTGTACCAAGGCGAAGAAATCAAAATATTCCTTTTTCTTTTCTTTCTAGTAAAATCTTCGTTCGCGGCAGAAAAAATGGTTTCTAACGAACTTATGATACGAGAAAAGAAAGCTGACATTCTGAAGCACCAGAAAATACATTTCGATTCCACTTTGATGCATAGCATCGTGTTCAAAAGAAATATTTTTTGGTTGCGCTTTGGGTTTGAAAGTAATCGATATTGAAGCTTCCCGTATTTTCTCTATATTTTTTTATTTTTAATGGTATATAAAGAAATGTT